TCTCCCACCCAGAGAGCCCTCTACCTTCCTAAAACACAAAAATTGACTTAGCTGGTGTTTTTTTCCTTAAGAAAAGCAAGATCCTGTTACCAAAATGACTCTTAAACTCATCTCAAAACTTCGTTGCAAAGGAAATGAAACTATTAAAAGAACATTGCTCTGTAATTCAGGAAATTGAATCAACTTGTTTGCAGCTATAAGCAGAGGAAGACTCGGGCTGCACTGAGCCACATATTGTGAGACTAAACAGCGCTCTGCTCTGAAATGACTTCACCATCCAGGGGAGGCCTGTGCCGTCTCCACAGAACTGTGTAACTCCTCCATGCGTGCTTTCCTCTGCTGCCTAAAATCAAAGTTATCTGTGCAAAGTGAGAAAACTTTGTCAGATGTTAGCATTTTGTATGATTTTTTTTAACTTCTATGTAGATTTTCATTAATGGTCCTATAATATTTGTGGAAAGAATGTCTTTTTAATAAATAAAAAAATATATAGTACAGATCTTGTTGAGCATTAAGGATTTCTGCAGATAAATATTAATTATTGAAGTGTGGTGTTAAGTATATAAGGGTTCATTATATGACTATCTGTACTATATATATGTCTGTGTATACATATATACACACACAATATTATATATATATGTTCATCTTTGAGTCAGCTTGCAGAGTATCACATTTTACCACTGCACCACTGTCTAAATCCTACTAGTATATATTTTAAGTTTTCCTTAACAAAAGGTGGTGGGGGTGTTCCTGTTTATTTTTCCATTCATCACAGAGTACACACATGTTCATGAGAGAGAGAGAGAGAGAGAAGCACCCATGACACAATCCCCTTTCACTAACGCTCCAGGTTGCCAGAATCCTTATTATATGCACATGTGCCCAGTAATTTCAAGCCCAGTGGGCTGGGGACTCAAACTGTGGTCATCGTGTGGCTTCCAGCTCTACAATCCAATGTGCTACTGACTGCATCCCAGAGAGTGACCATATTTTTTCTTCCGGTAATTCTTTAGATAAACTTAACTTACGTTTTCCATTAGTATATTTTTCCTATACTGCTGTACCCAGAAAGCATGCTATTTCCTTATTCCACCAACTAATTTAACATGTGTCAAATTTTAATTGGACAATGAAAGAAAGGAAGAGGGCAAGCCAGTGGCATGGTCTCACATGACCAAATGCACAAATTGAGTCTTTGGCCCCCATGACTTGAAAACCATGCTGGGCATGTGTACATGCATACTCCAAATCCAGAGGAGACCTGGAGGAGAGGTGATTGTGGCATGGCCATCCCCTTTGGAGGGTGCTTTTTCATTCTCTTTCTTTCTCTTCCCTCCTGCCATCCCTTTCCCTGCCCCCCTTTCTAGGGAGCACATGTACTCTATAGCAAAAAATTTTTTAAAAAAAGGGAGGTAAATTGTGGTTGGGCTCAGGTGCTCCGATTTGTTTTCTTTCTTTCTTTTTTTTTTTCTTTTTTTTTTTTTTTTTTTT